GACCTGGGTTGTCATCCTGTCTCCTGGTTTTGGCGTGGTCCAGCCCCAGCAGTTGAGAACACAGAAGATCTCTGTCTCTCTGCCTTTCAAACAAATACATTATTATAAATAAGGAAAAATTAAGAAGTGTTTAAATATACAAAAAAGTAGAAAGAACATCATAGCTAACCTTTGTACCTACCACCCAGCTATGTCAAACCTTAGTGTTTTTCTGTATTTGAAAATGAAGAGGGGAGAAATGGTTCCAATCTAGAACTGAAGCATGCTATCTTACACTGTATTGGATAATTTTACAGTAACTATATCTACGGCTAAACTGTGTGCGCAACACCAAGGTTAAAGTGTTCTCCCTGCTCCCGTGTGCGTGCGTGTGTGCGTGTGTGTGCGTGTGTGCGTGTGTGTGCGTGCGTGCATGTGTGTGCATGTGTGTGTGCGCGTGCATGTGTGCGTGCGTGTGTGTGCATGCGTGTGCGTGTGTGTGCGTACGTGCGTGTGTGTGCGTGCATTGCCTCTGGTGCAGGCACCCCTTCAGTAGCAGAATCCCAACATCAGCACAGAGCCAGAGCGAGCTAATGTGCATTTTTATTTTTTTAATAGAGAACTTTCATTTAATAAACACAAATTTCATAAGTACAACTTTTGGATTATTGCGGTTCCTCCCCCCATACCCGCCCTCCCATGACATGCATTTTTATAGAACACACACCGGGCAGTGTTCATTCATTCTCGGAGTAGTAGTTCTTCCCCTAAGATGATTATCATGGACTCTCAGAATTAGAAAAATGTGAGGTCATCTACCTATCTACCACGAAATGTGTGTGTGTTTAAATAAATAAATACATATTTAAATAAATCATTACCAGCACATCTGAAGTCCCCAGCCAATCTGCTGCATATGCCTGTACCCGGGTGAGATTTGAATTTCTCTGATTGCCAGCAAAGTTAAGCATTATTTGTGTGCCTTTGGTTTTTTTTTTATTTTCTTATCTGTGTTGTGTTTGTTTTTTACCACTTTGCCAATTACAATAGTTTGTCCTTTCCATTGACTTTTATGAGCGCCTCAGTAAGTTCGGTTAGGGATCCTTTATCTGTTCTGCAAACTGCCAATGTCCTCTTCCTGACCGTGGCTCACCCTTGCATGTTTTGTTTCCCGGTATATTCTTTTGTACCAAAGTTTTCCATTTTAATATAGTCAGCTAGGTCATATGTTTTACACTTAATGGCATGCACTTTTGATGTCTTGCTTACCCATCGTTCTGTACCTCAATGTCATAAACATGCTTCCAGTTTGGACTAAACGTTTTCTTGTTTGGCTGTTCACGTGGAGTTCACCCCCGGGTGAGACATAAACCTTCTGTAACATTTCCCTGTATGGACAGACAGTGATGTCCGCGTCAGTCCCCGTCCCTTCCCGTGATGCCTTAGGCCTGCTCTGTCAGGTACCCAGCTTCCATGCACACACGGATCCACTTCTCACCTCTCGATTCGGTCGCCCTGGCTGATTTTCTATTCCCAGATGGCACCGTAATTGCTATAACTTTCTAGAAAGTCTTGGTCTCCGGTAGGGCCGGGCCATGTGTTCTCTCCCCAGGGCCTTGCTCTCAGGCAAGCTTGTCTCGGCTGCTGGTCTTGATTGTTTATTGCTGCTACGGAATCACCCTGAAGGGTAGCAGCTTGAAAGAACCACCCAAATATAAAGTAGACAAAGAATAAAACCTTAGCAAACTGCACCGTGTGCACCAAGAGCTCGAGAGATGAAAAGGGAAGGGGAGCAGGTGTGTGTTCCACCTGCTGAGCAGGGCTTCAGAGAGAAAGACGTTGCTCGCTCAAGAGGAACCCAGATCTCTGCCATGGCTCAGAGCCTCCTGGGGCCCCTGCCCCCCACCCCTCTAGTTCCCACAGGTCTGGAAAGGCGCCTCCCGACCTTCGGTGGAAGCATAAGCAGCCCTCTCCCTGGGGCAGGGCGTGAGGATGAACCTAAGTCTTTGGATCTGGCGGCCATTGGTTCCTTGCAAATCTCCCCTTGAGCTTTCCAGCTGAGTCAACTGCACCCCTGCTTGTGCCAGAAAAGACCTTGTCAGGCCGGCACTGCGGCTCACTAGGCTAATCCTCCACCTGCGACGCTGGCACCCCGGGTTCTAGTCCCTGTTGGGGCACCGGATTCTGTCCCGGTTGCTCCTCTTCCAGGCCAGCTCTCTGCTGTGGCCCGGGAAGGCAGTGGAGGATGGCCCAGGTCATTGGGCCCTGCACCCACATGGGAGACCAGGATAAGCACCTGGCTCCTGGCTTTGGATCAGTGCGGTGCGGCCACTGGGGGGTGAACCAACAGAAAAGGAAGACCTTTTGTTAGGTAGGAAGTCAGTTATGAGCGTATGTGTGTGTGACATAAAGGCCTAAAGAGAAGACATCTATGTCCAGCATATGCATCTGCATCTCAAAGTCATCCTGACAATGTTTCAGGGGCAGCCCGGTATTCCCATCCTGCCCTGCCCCCTTCTACCTGATAACCTGCCAGGTGGAGGTCCCCACCCCTTCTGCCTGACAAATCTTCCACAATCTCCCAGGTGCAGCCCAGTATCTGCATTTCAAACACCCTGCTCCGGATCCCCATTCTCTAGGGGGTCCTGCTCACCCTTCCTCTGAACCCAGGATGGCATCAGCTAGGCTTCCTCCTGTCTGATACCTTCAAGGGAAAACTCAGATAGGAGCTTCTTAATATTTACAGCCATACAATCCTTTGTTTCAGGAGGAGATGTGTGAAGACAAAGACCCATCTCCTTAAAAACCCCCGGCCTCAACCGGACTGCGCGCTCAGCCCTCTGCCTCTCTGCTGAACCACCCTCCTGGTCTGGCCAGGTGTACTCCACTCAACCATGTAACCTCGCTCCTTCCTCTCCCCACCCCCAGTCTGAGTGACTGCACTCTTTCCCAGGCCCTGTCTGGAGAGCTGCCCATCATCCTTACAGATGATGTCCCTTCCCTAATAAACCTTGCTATTTTACCTCCCACTACTCTCTGTCTCACGCCTGAATTCTTTCTTGCGCGAAGACAAGAACCCTGTAATTTCTCCGGTAACACTTTCTCTCTGTCTCTCTCTCACTGTTCACTCTGCCTGTCAAAAAAAAGGGGGGGCGGAAGACCTTGTCCGCCCATCCACCCCCCCAGCACCTTCAGCTCTCCTCCAGCTGGGGCCCTGACAGCTTTGCTCATGCACCTGCCCTGCCCGCCTCCACCCAAACACAAGTGGTTAAAACTTCAGGTCTGGGGTAGTGTGAGTCACTGGCCCACTCAGAGTCTGGCGTACCAAAACCAACCCACACATGTTGACTTAACAGGTGATCCTTGCCCCCACATCCCCACCCGGGGCATGCTGCCTGGCGGTCTGAGGCTCCTGTAAACTCTCGTCTAATGAGTACAGCTCAGGGCTGGCTCCAGGAGCCCTGCTCTGAGAATATCCTTTGGGTCTGGACAGTCCACGAGGACCCTGGTCCTCCGGATGGCTCCTGGTACTGCAGCCAGACCAGTGCAGGCAGAAAACCAAGTTGGGGAGTACCTGGTGAGGATGGTTCCCCACCACGCCCCCTCCCCACCCAGGGACTATGTAGACTAAATACAGACCAAGAGCAGAGGCGCCGTCAAGAGTCAGAATTAGGAAGGACCAGAGGTTGAGTGAGGCCGCAGGCCAATGCCAATGACCTCCTCCGGGGAAGACCCAGTGGGGCGTGGCAGGGGTGGGTGGTGGTGGTCAGGGAGCAGCAAAAGTTCACTGGGCAGGGCAGGGCAGAGACCCCAGGAGCCGAGGTGACAACTGAGCACCCTGCTCCCAGTGGATCTCAGCCCGAGTGTCACAGGCTGGGGATGGAACCGCGTCCTCAACACTGGGCCCCTGGAAGGCGGCAGATGGTGGCAGCAGAGATGTCACAGTCAGAGGTGACAAGAGCCTACCTGCCTTCCTCCCAGAGAAAGACTACATCCTCACAGATGCCCGCCAGACCCCAACCCTCCCACGGCTTCGTTCCCTTTCTGGTTGTGATGCAGTGTGGCTGCTCCCATCTGTAGGCAAAGCTGATGTCTCACTGGGCCTGGGAGGAAGCCGGGTCCTGTTGTACAGAAACAGCCCCAGACCAGCGGCTTCAGCAGGAGGTGGGGAGTCCTTGTCTTCAGAGAGATAGCAGCGGAGGCTGCTCGTCTCTCGCACCGCAGCCTGTGGAGTGAGTCCTGGCTTCCCAGTGGCAGTGTCACCATTGCCAAGTGATGAATCTACAGGTCCTAGCAGGCTTCCTGCCCCACCACCCTTCCACACACTTGGCCTGGACCCCCAGAGTTCAGAGCCAGCCCTTGGGGCACACAATGAAAAGGAGACCCCGGCTCCAGCAGTGCCCTGTGAGACGTCCTTGGGCTAAGGAGGGGCACTCTCCTCACCCTCTGACTCAGATGCGGTTAGCAGGGTGGGCGAAGGTTTCCCAAATCAGTTCTGCTGCAGCTGTGGGGATGGCCGGAGGTCAGCAAGCTCCCGGCCTCATCCTGGCTGCAAAAGTAAGGTCTAGGGCCAGGGGGCGCCCCTGAGCGCTGGGCACGGCCCGAGCCCCAGCGATTTTCCTGGCAGGATAGGGAGGAGCTCATCTGTGAGGATCCCCGAGTGAGAGGCGAATTAGAAGCAGGGGGTTGGCAAGGAGCAGGGGTGCGAGGGGTGGGCTCGGAGGTCCTGGGGGAGTTCAGGGGAGGGGCTGCCGGGAGAGAGGGACTTGCACAATCTGTTGGGACTTCATAGCCCCTGGAGGGCCAGGAAGGAAGTGACAGTCACAGAACTGGGTTACTCAGAGGCACTGGGCTCCAGACCCCCAGCCAGTCAGATTCTGTCCTGATAGCACTCGCTCCTCCTCTGCCCCGGGAGGGGACAGGGCAAGAGTCCAGAAACCCCCTTGGACTCCTCCCCGCCTTGCCCCCAGCCTGCCCATCACAGCCACAGACCCAGGCTCCCGCCCCTGGTTAATTAGGCTTGCTCGCCTTTGCCCCCCACCCCCCACCTCCCGCATCAAACTGGCCCCTGCTTGTCTTTGCCGCCCTAGGAGTCACCCCGAGGCTGGGAGACCAGCTCTGGACCCTGGGAGCCTTTGACAAGTGCTCAGTGCTGGGGGGATTCTGCCTGCAGCTCAGAGGCACTCCCTCCAGGGCAGCCGACTTGCAGGACTGGAGGTTTGCTCCCAGTGACGCTGGTGTATTCCACAGAGAGCTGGGCGTCCACTTCGGGCTTCGAGTCGGGGTGGACGTTGGCGTAGACAGGGTGCTCAGAGCCGCAGTGGCTTAGGTGGGTGAGGGAGACGTAGTGGATGGCTGCTGGGTCCTCATCAGGGGTCGCCTGCTGATCGGCGCCCTAGGAGCCAAAGACATCAGCTGCATGGCCCCCCTCTGGGTGGAGGATGGGGAGAGGGACGAGATGTGGGGCAAGGTATTGACCCTGCCAAGACTCTGGAGGCGAGTGGCTGGGAAAGATGCTTCTGAAAGCAGGAAGGTGGCCATCATGGAGCAGGGTCACCAGCAGGCTGGGGGTGGGAGCGGGGAGCGCGGGGCGGGGTGCGACGTGCAGCAGTGAGGGTGCAGCCTGGGACGTCCACATTCCATCTCAGCGCCCTGGGCTTGAGTCCCGGCTCCTCTGACCCAGTTTCCTGCTAGTGGGCACCCTGCGAGGTAGCAGGTCATGGCTCAAGTTCTCCGGGGACCTGGGCTGAGTTCTCTGCTCCTGGTTTCAGTCTGGCCCCCTTCCCTGGCTGTTGCAGGTACTTGGGGAGTGAACCAGCAGATGGGAGATCTGTCTGTCTCCATCTCTTTCTCTCTCTCTCTCAGATAAAATGAAAATAATAAATACATTTTAAAAATAAAAACACATATATATAATATAGACAGAGGGGGCAACACAGGGGACTGGCAGCACCAACTTCACCTGGCTGATACCGAACCAGGCTCCATCCCAGATCTAGGACAGCAGTCTTGGGGGCAGGGCCCAGGACCCTGTGGTTGGTTGGTTGGTTGGTTGGTTTTTAAAGATTTATTTATTTATTTTGAAAGCATTACACAGAGAGAGGGAGACACACACACACACACATACACACACGAGAGAGAGAGAGAGAGAGATCTTCCACCCGCTAGATCACTCCCCAGACGAATGCAATGGCCGGCACTGGGCCAGGCTGAAACCAAGAGTCGGGAGCTTCGTGCAAGTCTCTTACATGTGTGGCAGCCATACCTGGGCCATCTTCTGCTGTTTTCCTAGGCCAGTAGCAGGGAGCTGGATCAGAAGTGGGGCAGCCGGGACATGTATGGGATGCCGGCGTGACAGGTGGCAGCTTTACCCACTACACCACGGGTCCGGCCCCAGAAACTCCCAAGCACTCCATGTGACTTCTGTACACACTCAAGCTAGAGCAGCACAGGGGGAGGAGAGCGCTCGTGGGGAAGGCATTTGTAGCCGTGATTCCAGCATCACTTTGGAGCTTTTCAGTCCTGTGGTTCTGCGATTCCAAGAACCTGAGATCTTTACACACGACAGCCCTTCCCGAGGGAAGCCACGCGGTCCCCAGCCCCTTCTGAGAGCGCACCCCGGGAGCCAGGGCAGTTGCCACGTGATGCCTTTTCCCACAGAGGAGCGGTCGCTCTGGCCGGCTCATGACCTGTGGGATGATGAAATGCTACCTGCCGCAGGGGTGAGGGTTAAGAGCAGGGTTTGCCAACTCTCTCTCTCTCTCTCTCTCTCTGTGTCTCTCTCTGTCTCTCGTCTCTCTAAGGAAACAGAATTGAGAAATAAGGGAAAAGGAAGCACACAGGCTACAAGGCAGCAGGGGCGTGCGCAATCACCAGTTTGCGTCAAGGTTTGCATGCGCAATCACCAGTGTGCGTCAAGGTTTGCATTCACAGTCACCAATGTGCATCAAGGTTTGGAGGAAATAGAAAATAAGCAGAAGCTGGGCGGTTAGCAAAGACCGCCAACAGCACAAGCACGCGGGAAGTCCATGATTCTCTGCAGCTACTCACGCTGGGCTCCTTCCGGCCTGAGAAGCCACTGCAGCCGGGCCAGGAGTCAGCCTCACCTGCCGAGGAAACAGTGAAGGCTGAGGGCGCCTCTCCCTATGCGGCTCCCGTGGGAACAAGGGCGACAGGATAGGGTCCTGCCTAGGCATTAGGGACCTTGGTGGGAGGCAGTCCCAGTGCCCAGCACCCAGTAGCATCCCAGGAAGCTCAAACTGGCTGCCTAGGGTTGATTTGTATAACATAGGTGAGCTTCATTCCAGGTCACTAAAAGTTCCAAACTTCTCAGATAGGCGAATGGCTTAGCTGATGAGATGACACGCAGTAATGTCCTCCAAAAAAAAATTTTTTTTTTGACAGGCAGAGTGGACAGTGAGAGAGAGAGACAGAGAGAAAGGTCTTCCTTTTGCATTGGTTCACCCTCCAATGGCCGCCACGGCCGGCGCACCACGCTAATCTGAAGCCAGGAGCCAGGGGCTTCTCCTGATCTCCCATGCAGGTGCAGGGCCCAAGGACCTGGGCCATCCTCCACTGCACTCCCGGGCCACATCAGAGAGCTGGACTGGAAGAGGAGCAACCGGGACAGAATTTGGCACCCCAACTGGGACTAGAACCTGGGGTGCCCGCGCCGCAGGTGGAGGATTAGCCTACTGAGCCACAGCGCTGGCCCCTCCAAATATTTTTAACCTGGAGCTCCAAGGCAAAATGGAGCTGATGTGAGCATGCCACACGTTCTCACACCCACGCACATCCACGAGCACTCTGGAAATAAAAGTTCAATGAAAAAAAATGTGCAAAGCGGCTGGCGCTGTGGCTAATTAGGCTAATCCTCGGCCTTGCGGCGCCGGCACGCTGGGTTCTAGTCCCGGTCAGGGCGCCGGATTCTGTCCCGGTTGCTCCTCTTCCAGGCCAGCTCTCTGCTGTGGCCCGGGAAGGCAGTGGAGGATGGCCCAAGTGCTTGGGCCCTGCACCCCATGGGAGACCAGGAGAAGCACCTGGCTCCTGGCTTCGGATCAGCGCAATGCGCCGGCCGCAGCGTGCCGGCCGCGGCGGCCATTGGAGGGTGAACCAACGGCAAAAGGAAGACCTTTCTCTCTGTCTCTCTCTCTCACTGTCCACTCTGCCTGTAAAAAAAAATGAGCAAAGCATTTGGCTCTTCTACCTTAGTTTATGGAAATGTTATTGGGATCTAGGAAATTCATTTGACATTGTTGGAGAAACAATTGACATGCAATTTTACAGTCCACTCCTCCTGATGGTTGTTACTGCTTGGAAAGTTAAAGCCAATGAGGCGCTGTATCACTCTGGCTCACTCTCACATTTCATTCACACTGTCCACAGATGCACACACTACACACATGCCAAACCAGCCAAGCAACTAAAGCTAGCCAGAAAAGAGGTAGGTTTCCGCAAAAGGGTCTAACCTGGGAGCGGGGGGCATTTGGCCTTGAGCTTAGGTCACAGGTTGGGACACGTGCATCTCATATCCGAGTGCCTGTGTTTGAGCCTCAGCTCTGCTCTGAGTCCAGCTTCCTGCTAACGCACACACTGGGAGACAGCAGGTGATGGTCAAGTGCGTGGGTCCCTGCCTCTCACACGGGAGACCCAGACTTGGGTCCAGGGTCCCTTGAGGCCTGGCCCAGCCGGGGCTGAGTGAGCCAACAGACAGGAGCTCTCTGTCTGCCTGTCTGTCTCTCACTTGCACTTTCTCCTTCCCCTTGCCTCTCACACTTTAATTAATTGATTATTTTTTAAAGGGACTAATTCGATAAATGTTGCACAACTGCTACAGTCTTCACGTGGGATTAATGCTAAAAACTTAAAAACTTTGAAGCCTCAGAAGTCCTTAAAGAGCTTTTAGGAAGACAAAATTTTTTCCTTTTTTATTTCTTAATGTTTACATCTTATTGTGTATAATTTAAAGCATACAATATGATTTTATAAGATACACTTTTTTGGTAAAATGGCTATCATGATGGAACAAGTGAACATATTCATCATCTCATATGGTTACTATGGTTACTCATTTTCCCTTCTCCAGCAAAAGCAACTACAATTCATTTAGCAAAAATCCTGACTACAGAACACTGTTATCCACCATGGACCTCCTGGTGTGCATTAGATCTTTCTACTTGTTCATCCTACACAGCTGTGTTTTGCATACACTGACCTACATCTCCCCATTGTGCCCCTGATACCTCAAGTGAGTCAACATGTTTATAGACAGCAACAGTCAAAATCATGCCACTGGAGCAGATGGTGGCTCAGCATGGTAAGCCGAGGCTCGGGACGCCGTAGAGGAGCGCCTGGGATCAAGTCCTGGATCCGCTCCCAACTCCAGCTTCCTGCTAACATGCACCTGGGGAGGCAGCACGTGATGGCTCAAGTACTTGGGTCCCTGCCACCCACATGGGAAACCTGCATTGAGCTCCAGTCTCCTGGCTTCACCTGGCCCGGCCCTAGCTATTGTAGGCCCGTGGGGAGGGGACCAGCAGATGGAAGATCTCTCCCTCTCCCTCTCTCTCTCTGTCATTTTAACTTTTAAATAATTTTGGAAGATATATTTATTTATTTGAAAGGCAAATTTATAGAGTGGCAGAGAGAGAGAGAGGGAAGTCAAGAGACAGGTCTTCCTTTTGCTGGTTTACTCCGCAGATGGTTGCAATGGCCAGAGCTGTGCCAATCTGAAGCCAGGAGCTTCTTCTGGGTCTCCCACGTGGGTGCAGAGGCCCAAGGACTTTGGCCATCTTCCACTGCTTTCCCAGGCCATAGCAGAGAGTTGGGTTGGAAGTGAAGCAGCCAGGATTCGAACCAGTGCCCATATGGGATGCCGGCACTGCAGGCAGTGGCTTTACCCACTATGCCATAGTGCCGGCCCCTCAAATAAACTTTTAAAATATAAAAATAAAAAGTACAAAGATGTTTACATGAAACATTTTAGAGTATTGCATTCATTCTTTATGGTTTTTTAATTGTTATCTGAGATACAGGAAAGAGAGAAAGAGATCTCCCATCCACTGGTTCACTCCCCCAAATTCCCACAAAAGCCATGGCAGGGCCAAGCCAAAGCCAGGCACCTGGAACTCCATCCAGGTCTCCCACATGGGTGGCAGGGACCCAACCACTCGAGCCATCACCTGCTGCCTCCCAGGGTGTGTGTCAGCAGGAAGAGCTGGGAATGGGATTGGAACTAAGACTCAAACCCAGGCCCTTCAGTAGGGACACCGACATCTTAATTGCTGTCTTAACTGCTAGGCCAAACATCCCTCTTTACATAAATTGTTTTTGAAATCCTTACCCAAAGTGATGGTAAAACATATGACCACAAATGGATACCGGGCCACCTGGTTTTAGGCACTGTCGGTGCCGAGTTGAGCTGGCGTTGGGTGCACTGACCTCCAAAGAGAAGTGGTCTACCTGCAGAATGCCCAGGGCCCACCGCTTTGGCAGAGGGGAGGGGACCCCCTGCAGCCAGCAGGCCTCAGGTGCTCCTGGGTAAATGAGCCGCGTGAGTCTTGGGCCCCTGGCTCTCGGGCTGCCCTGTACGTGGCTCCGTACTGGCTGGCCGGCTCAGGGCCATGGCAGGGACTCACCTTTCCCGACTCTCGCTCGGGCTTTCCTGAGACCCAGGACCGTGGAGAGGACCACCAGCAGCAGCAGCAGTGTAGCCACCACCACGCCCACCAGGATGGACTTCCAGCTGTCCAGGATGGAAGAGGGACCGGGCCGGTGAGGAGAGAGCAGAGCCAGCACCACCTCCCAGCCTGGAAAACCTTCCCCGCCCAGGGCTGTAGTCCCCACAGCCTCACCAGCCTCCGGCCTCTCCCAGCTGACCACTGGGAGGCCACAGGAGCCAGCGCTGTCTCAGGCAAGCCCCTCCCCCTCCCCCCGGGACTGGTTTCCTTTTCTGTAAGGCCGATGTGCTGAGATGTCCAGGTGTCACAAGCCTTCCCTTTTCGGACTCTGGTCCCTTAATTTCCCTTCTGGGTCCCCCGGGCAGGGTCTGCATTCACCGCTCCCAGCACCCTTCCCCTGGCCACTCCTTGGCCCGGCTCCTCCGCTCAGCTCCTCCGGGGGCTGCAGGTAGCTCACGGAGCACTGCAGGTAACAGTGCATTGTAATAGGTCCTGTCTTCGTCAAAGGGAAAACACAGAGCGCTTCCTGCACCATCACAGGCTCCTAGGAATGTGTCTGGGTGCTGGCTGGTTGGGGGGCGGGGCAGTTCTAGAGACCTGTCTCAGCCCAGGTGATTGGCACCCACTTGGCGTCTTGTTTTGTCTCTTAAATGAGCCATATTTTGGAAGAGCCCAGAGCTTGTGATCTGTGGTGATGGTGACTGAAGAGAGGGGAAGAGAAGAAAGAATCAGGAAGTGGCTGGGGCCTGGAAACCATTGGGCAGGTAGAGAAAGTAGACCAGGCCACAGGTCACAGTGACGGCCAAGTGTGCCCTAGCCCTGGCACCTGGCCCTGGCATGGCTCTGCTGCTCTTGCAGCAAGGCCAGGAAGGGCTGGACAGGGGGCAGAGGCAAACGCAGCAGCCTTGGTGCCGTGGCTCTGGGCCAGGCCAGGCTCACCGAACCCTCACGGCCACTCTGTGAGATCAAGGTTCTGAACCATGGTGGGTGTGTGCTGCAAGGCACACTGGGCAATGCTGTGAGACCCTCTGGGTTGCCACATCTGGGTGTCCTCAGGAGGTGTGTGCACTTGATGGGCAGAGGCCAGGGATGTGGCTAAATACCCCACAAAGAACTGGTCAGTCTCCTACAGCCAAGAATCAGCTGGCCCCAACTGATAAAAATAGCAGAAATGTTATTTGCCTTGTTTTGCAGAAGTGAAAGCTGAGGTTAGGTGAAGTGACCCGAGGCGACCTGCTTGTTATTCCAACCCCTGAGAGCTGGATGTAGTGGCAGCGTGGTAGCTGGGGGTGTCCGGCATGGTTGGAAGAAAATGAGGGCTCAGAGGATGGGGAGGGGCAGTAGTACCTGGCAATGACAGGGGCCGTTGTCATCCCGCTGTCCCTGGGGGTGGCTGGGGCTGGAGCTGGAAGAGACGGCAGTGAAGGGGAGCACCCCTTTGCGCACCCACACTCCAGGGCTTCCCCCATCCAGGGAGGAGGCGGCCATACGTGGCACTGGACCGGGTGAGGGCTCCGAGCCACATCGTGGGCCCTGCAGGAGGTGCAGCAGCTGTGCCGTGGTGTCCTGGTCTCCTCCCCCTGCAGGGCAGCTCCATGCAAGGGACAGCACTGCCACTTGTACATTAGATCCTCTCTACAGTCGTTTCCAAGCCTGGCACGCACTTCAACCTCTGACGCTTCCCCCCACGCCCCTCGGGTCTCCCCTGGATAGACCCCTGCTCAGCCAACAAGGCCCAGGTGTGACACCTCCTCCAAGGAGTCTACCTGTGGTGGCCGGTCCCCTCACTTGCTCCAGTGCTACTCCCCTGTCTGGGCTGTGGGCTTCCCCAGCGCGGAACGGCATTCCAGCGACTTGGGTCCCCCTTCCAGAGAGTAGCCTAGCTCTGTGCCCCACACGCAAAGGGCATGGAGCCGAAGTTGGGCAATGAACCACTGAGCTGCTACGCTCGGTCCTCCAGGTGCCCGTGTGACCAAGGCTGTGATCTGGAGGACCGAGCATAGCAGCTCAGCACGAGGGAGGGATCTAGCAGGAGCCGTGTTCCAGCCCCGGCCACGGGTAAGTGCGGGGTGGTTGTGCAACCTTATGGTGCTCAGGAGGAACACACGGGGCCCTCAGGATTCGTGGAAATTGCAAATTTGCACTCAGAGGCTCAAGGTTCCTCACCGGTGAGGGCCATGTCCAAGGCAAGGACTCAGCCCCCGTCCCGAGCCCTAGGCTGCTACACTTCCCAGCCTTCCCGTCTCCCTCCCCCTCGACCTGTCTCCTGTCAGCTCACATTTTTCTGCCCCACACCCAATTCCTCTGTGTGATGGGCAAAGGTTGAGGGTTAAGGTCAGGGGCACGGATGTCTGAGACTGGATGCTGAGCAGCTGTGCTGATGCCTGGGGGAGCTTTAAGATCACTCCCAGGAAAAGGAGGAGCAGCAAAGACGGGTGATGTGGAAGGATGGACCCCCTGGAAGCCACGAGCCTGAGGTCAGGGGCTGACCCCACCCATGAGCAGTAGGTGGCCCTGGGACAGGTGCCTTCTCTATGGCCCCATTCCCAGGGCCCCCGCCCCCTGGCTCTCACACCTGGAGACTCAGCAAGCCCAAACTGCACAAAGAAGAAGGGGAACACGCACCTGCCAACACCTCGAGCTGGATGGTTCTGAAGACCATGACCTTGGGATACTCATAGAAGCCACAATAGTATAATCCCGAGTCCCCCGCCTTGAGCCCGGTCATGATCACGATGAATTGGGAAGAGTCTGGCTTATCCCACAGGGAGCACTGGGAGCTCCCCACCCAGCCCTGGGAAGTGGCCAACACGGAGCAGGTGTTCGGCCCTTCCTGCTTACACCAGACTTTCTCCTTCTCATGCTGGTCAGCCGAGTAGGGGCAGATCACGTAGATGGTCTCGCCCTCCAGTTTCTGCAGCTTCTGTGCCCGGGAGCCTGGGAGGGGGCCGTCAGGTCAGGGAGCCTCCCTCGCAGGGGCCAACCCGCTCCTCCCCCGCCCTCCTCCCCTCCCCCTCCCCTGCCCCTCACCTGGCACCAGGAGCAGCAGCAGGCCAGGCAGCAGCAGAGGCAGGGCCCCCCAAGCCATGAGGTCTTTCTCGAGCTGGGGGTATAGGGTGGACTGCTGAGCAAGGCAAAGACCTTGTGGGAGAAGTGAACAGCCTGGGGCAGGGGTCTGGCGTCTGGGGAACGCGGGGCTCCAGGGACCCAATAGCTGCTCCTGGGCTACCCTCAGCCGGCCACTTCCCCCTCAGGGCCACTCCCCTCCCACTGGGGTTGACCCTGAGGTTGGTGTAGGGAAAGATGAGAATTCACAGAACGGAAGTTGGGTGAACTGTTCCTCCTCTCTTCCAGCTGTTCTACCACTTCCTTCCCAGCCTACATTTCTCCTGCCCCCACCCCCAGAAAGCGCAGCCTGAATGAAGGCAAGCGACCCCGAGAGGGGGGTCTTTGGGGAGCCGGGCCAGAGCCCTGAGTGCCACCAGCCGCCAAAAGTCAGTGACTTCCCGAGAACTCAGCAGTTCCCTGGGGACTGGAGGGGATGAGGAGAAAGGAGCTGCAGATGCGTTCCCAGGCATGGGAGTGCAGGGACAGTCCCAGCACGAGGAGGGAGGAAGGGGAGGACGGTGCAGGGAGCGGGGCAGGGGGCTTCAAAAAGTTCTTGGAAGGGGCGGGCGTGGGACCTGGCCGCTGTTAAAACAGTCACATCCCATGGGGTCAGTGCTATGATACAAGGGGTTAAGCTGCAGCCTCAGTGCCACCATCCCATATGAGTGCCAGTTCAAGTCCCAGCTGATCCACATCCGATCCAGCTCCCTGCTAATGTGCCTGGGAAAGCATTGGAGAATGGCCCAAGTCCTTGGGCCCCTGCACCCACCGTGGGAGACCGGCCATTTGGGGAGTGAACCAGCAGATAGAAGACCTCTCCCTCTATCTCTTCTCTCTCTCTCTCTGAAACTCTGCCTTTCAAATAAATAATATAAAATCTTAAAAAAAAAACACACACACACAAAGCAGTCATACCCCGTTTCAGAGTGCCAGCGTTCCAAACCTGGCTCCAGCTCCTGGCTCCGCACTCCAGCTTCCTGCTCGTGCCCCAGGAGACAGCAATGACGCCTCGTGTACTTAGCTTCCTGCCACCCACGTGCGAGACCTGGGCGGAGTTGCTGGCTTCTGCCTCCCATTTCTGCCCTTGGCCTAGCCCCTAGAATCCTTGCCAGCCTTTGGGGGTATGAACGGAATGTCTCTCTCTCTCTCTCTCTCTCTCTCTCTCAAATAAATAAATAAATAAGTGTATTTTTAAAGTTTATGGAAAAAGAAATTAAAAGATAAGTTTATTTTGGTGCGAAACCTTTGAAACCCAGACACGGACTTTTTACCGTCTGCATTGTCCATGAACTTTTTGAAGACCCTGCCAGCAGGTGGGGTGGGGGCTGTTGCTGGCCTCAGGTCATCCCCGACTCCCAGCCACAGTCCCTCCATAAGCGTTTGCTGAAAGACCACACCAATCAAGCACATCCTAAAAAGCAGTCGGCACTGGGTCAGCTGCAGAAAGCCAAGGGTCACAGGCTGCTCACGGTTGGCTAACAAGCCGAAAGAGGGAAGCTTGTGAGAAGTGTGGCGGGTTAGGTTCCAGGAGACAGGCTCGGAGACGCCCGTGGGCACGGGGGTGCAAAGAGCTCTGGGACCACCATCTAGGGGAAGGGAAGAGCCGGGAGCAGGAAGTCATGGGAGATGCTGGGCTACTGTGGAGACCGAAAGGAGAGCGAGGAGGTCTGGGGGAGGGCCAAGCCTTCAGGACTTCCTTGAGCTGGTGAGGGGTGTCAGTGCCTTAGCCACCGCCCTATCAACCGCTCCGAGGAGGAGGAGGATGGATATGCTCAGAGTGGGTTCTTCCCTAGCAAGGTGGAGCTTTGCAGGAGCTTGCCTCCCCCAGGAAGCCTGCCTGGCTAGCCCCCAGGGTTCCTGTCTCCGAAGGCCTTGAACACCTCCTACATCCTGCACTGTGGCTTCCAACCCTGTGCTGTGGCCCAGGGCGCACCAGCCCTGCCGTGTCTTCCTGCCCCTTGCACCTGGGAGCAGGTGGAGGGCAGGGCTGGCTCCTTCCGTCCTGGCCCCGCCTCCCAAAGTGCTGAGTTGTGCTCAGGCAACTGCCAGCAGGTGGGGTGGGGGGCTTTGTCCTGGGACGCCAGGGATAGGGGCTTCAGGGCTCATCTCTGTCCTGCTTTGCCAAACAAGGAAAGAAGAGCTTCTCAAGGCCACACCAAGATGAGCAGACACACGTGTCCTCCCCTCTTCCTAAGAGGGCTTCACCAAAGGGGCTGCATCAAAAGGCCCGAGAAGAGAGGAGACAGAACAGAGACAGAGCATCCCAAATGTCAAGTGCAGAATGGATGGCAAAGCTGAGAACAGCCAAGGAGCGGTAATAAGCAGGCGTTTGCTGAGTAGTACAACATTCACGTTATTGCATTTTATCTCGAGAGGTAGGAATTACTGCCCCCTTTCATAAGGTGGGGGGGGGGCGGCGGCGAGGAGGCCCAGAAAGGTTAGTGACTTGCTCGGGGTCACACCGTGACAGTGGCATCACCGTCCCCACTCTGACTCCTTGCCCACCAGACGTCTTGCATCAGAGATGTGGGATGGCAGTGGAGGTGAGCTCCTGGGGCAGGTGGCTGGCTGGCTGGGACGGATGTGTGTCTGTATGTGTGGCTTTGCCTGTCCTGGGACCAAGCTGTCAATTCCTCAGCCTGGGTCTTGCATCTACTGCCCTCTCGTGGACACAGGGAAGAGATACCTCCTCCATGCTGTCCCCAGCGATGGCCCGGTGTCCCTTACTTTCTCCCCATATCCATCCTGGAGTGGCCACACCAGCTGTCCACCGAGACTCCAGCTGTATCCGTCTCCTGACTACGACATCTGCTCTCCCCCTGGGAGGTTCCTGACCCAGGGCCAAAGTCCTGATGTCACATTTATTCCCAGCCACTACTCAGTCACTGCAGGCAGAGGACACCCCTGCCTGGTCAGGAATCCAGTCGGTGGCCTCCAGCCTTCACTGCTGGCCACCAGGGAGGCAGTCTGGGCAGCAGAGGCTGAGTCTGAGCTGGGTGTTCATGGCTCACAACTGGACTCCATTCTTTCTGTCCCTGACTTGAGTCAGTCCTCCAGGCTGTGGTCAGCTCTGGCTACTTTCTTTGTGTCCCAAGTGGGTCTTCTCTCCGCAGGGGACAGTGAACCCCTAGGGAATGGGGTGCTGATCCGCTCTTTCTCTACACCCTGGCCTCCCCACCAGTGCCTGTTGTTACAGGGCCAGAGTCTCAGGGTGTGGACTCAGCTGGCATTCCCTGCAGGATCTCAGACCTGGAGCCCAGGTGCACAGCCTGGGGAGGAAGCCCTGAGTTCAGCTGGGGAGAGGCAGGCACCTCAGGGGAGGGACACCCAGCTGGTGGCAGCAGTGGGGGAGGTGGGAGCTGCAGGCTCCCAGGATGGGGGGATGAGTGGCCTCAGTCGGGGCAGAAGGCATCCAGCAGCCACATCAGAGGACACCTGGCCAGACACGGCGACCGCACACAGCTCTGGACTCCCCAGCGGCATGGCTCCTGACCACTTCCCTCTCCTTGTCCACAACAGGGCCCCCGGGGACTCCAGCTGCTTCTGGGCCTCATGAGCCCCTCCCCCTTCCTTCCCAGGTATGTGGGGGGGAGGCAGGGCTCGAGGGGAGCAGGGGGAAGTTGAGGGCAGAGGGGTCCCAGGTGGGCAGAGGGCAGCTCTCGCTGTCCCCCGTCGGCTCGGCTCCAGCGTCAGGCAGGACGAGGCTCCTGAGGCAGGCAGGACGAGGTTCTCTATGGGTCAGCAGCATCCCCAGAGCTCTGATGCCCTCAGTCCAGGGCCCTGTGGCTCTGAGCAGGCTCTGGGACATGCCTCGCCAGACCTGCCACGTGGTGCCTGCCACTAGGCGCTCTGCACACTCCCGGCAGCCCAGGAAAACGCTTGGCACAGGGATATGGTGGCAGCTGTGGGCCTGCGCATGTCCAGCCCTTGCAGAATTCCTCCAACCTGGGCCAGGCCAGGCCCTGCTCTCCACTCCTCCCCCAGCCTCCTGTGGCCCCTCCGGGATGCGCTGCCACTGTTCAGTTACATGGTCCCAAACTAAGCCAGCTTCTGCAGGGGCTCTGGGCTTCTGGGCAGGTCCCTCCAGGGCCTGGCAGGGTCGTGGCACAAGCTGTAGCCTACGGAGAAAGGGGCAGTTGAAGAGGGCCGCGCCCTGCTCACAGCACCCTGACGCCCCTCTCCCGCCTCTGCCAGGGGTCCCTCCAGGTCCTCCCCTGCCTGGCCGCCCCCTCCCTCACTGGGTGCCCTGCAGTGCCCTTGACTGGCACGGCCATTTGGACAGCTACCCGAGCCCTGGCCAGGGTGCTGAGGGGTGGGCTCCACTCACTTCCTGTGTGTCTCTTCTTCCAAAACCCATAGACCACGATCAACGTCACGGGCGCCGGGAAGAGGGCCAGCACCACCACGAGCACTGTGATATGAATATCCTGGTGCCTGAGGAGTCGAGGCGGAGGGAAGGAGGTGAGGCCCGAGGTCTCCCCAGCCCCAGGTGGGGTCAGACCCTGGGAGGCTCAGCAGCACTTCTGTCCTGGGGACACAGCTGAGGGAGAGGCAATGAGGAGCCCAGAGCTGAGGGGAGATGGCCCCAGCCCTCCCCTCCCACGTCCCTCCTCCCTCCATGAATCCCCTAACTCTGTCCAGAGTGAGGGCGGCGACTCCTGTCTGTGACCCTGGCCTGCACCGCTCCCATGCACAGGTCTCCAGCAGTCCCACGAGGATTGCTCCTTTCTCTTGTCCCGGGAGCCCTGTATGCCACAAGTGGTGGCTGACCCTTCACGGGTGACAAACAAGCATTGGTGCATATCTACCCCAGCTCCCCCGCCTCAGGGGAGCACCTGCTGCTGGCTACCCCTCATCAGCTGCCTTCCTGGCACCGGCCCCCTTCCCCACTCTGGCCTCCATCTTGGAGAGCCCAAATGACAGCAGCCGCCACATTCCAGCTCCTGCTCCCAGAGCCACCTCCTCACCCCACCCTTACCCTCCTGCTCTCACCTGTGAACTCTCCCGGCTGCCCACCCCTGCCCCTCCTCCCCAGTGTCGGCCTTTACAGCACTTCCCGGCTCCCTCTGCTGTCTGGGCGCCAGGCCACACTGAGCTCCTGGGAGCAGAAGGTGGTGGTGGTGGTGTGTCTGACACAAGATTTACCCCTTCCAGATCTGCTCAGGTACCAAGAGCTGGTGCATGTGTGCCCACTAGCCCTGCAGCAGGTACCTGAGGGAGGGTAGTTTGTTCTGGCACATTCCTGTGGTGGGTGAGCTGGTGCCGAGGAGCCCGGGCTTCGTGGACATGGGTGCCGGGCTAGCAGGGGTGGCTTGGGCAGTGCTGGGAGCTGCGGTCACCGCCCGGGACCCTGTGGCTCTCCAGGGCCCCACGGTGGTGATGCTGGTGTTGGGGGAGCTGGGTCTCGTGGTCTGTGAAGCAGAGGAGGACGAGAGTCTGCCCACGGTGAGCACTCCAGAGGTGAACACCATCACGCCCGTGGAGAGAGGGGTGCCGGCGCCGGTGCCTGACGTGGAGGCTTGGTCTGTTGCAATGACAGCACCACTCTTGGGGACGTTGGCCAGGTGTGTGAGAGGCATGCTCCTCTCCGTGGTGGAGGCTGAGAGACCAAAGAGGGAGGCCTATTAGATGGATGCAAGTCTCAGTGCTGGGAGCAGACCTCGCCCCCCTCTCTCAGGGAAGGGGCTGTCTTCTTCTCCCCTCCTGCCCTTGGGCCCAGGGTCCTGCTCTCAGACTCCGGGTGGGCAGGTGTGTGTGAGTTCACAGGGAGTGTCAGGAAGGAAGAAGTAGGCGTGGTGAAGAGGGGAGAGGCTGCCATGGTCACTTTAGCCCCACCCCCCCATTGGCCACCTGTTCCAGGGGATACCCCCTACCCCGCCCCATCTCCACTGGCACTCCCCAGACCCTCCTATCTCCCTGACATGAATGGACAGGACAATTCCACTGCTCCACAGTTGGCTATTAGGGTTCAGAGATGAAGATGGGGTGTGGGGGATGGCTGCACTGTGGCATAGCGGGTAAAGCCACCGCCTGCGGTGCCAGCATCCCATATGAACACAGGTTTGAGTCCTGGCTGCTCCATTTCCAATCCAGCTCTCTGCTGTGGCCTGGCAAAGCAGTAGAAGATGGCCCAGGTGCTTGGGTCCCTGCACCATGTGGGAGACCCGAAAGAAGCTCCTGGCTCCTGGCTTTGGATCAACGCAGCTCCGGCCATTGATAGCCATTTGGAGAGTGAACCAGCAGATGGAAGACCTTTCTCTCTGTCTCTCCCTCTCAATCTGTAACTCTACCTCTCAAATAAATAAATAAATCTTTAAAAAAAATACGGGGGCAGCAGAGACCCGAGATTTCAGAGAAAGCTGCAAACAGTAGGGGTCGTGCACCTTGTTGGGGCAGGGCCCACTCAGGCACATATGAGCCGTCAGCTCCCCTGTCCTTACCACCCCTCTCCTATAGGAAGCCTGGAGTTGGGCCTGTGGATGGGGGACGGGGTGGAGGAAGGTTGGGAGACCTTGATCTAGGGGGACTGTCGGGCCCACCATAGCCAGGAGTGGGAGAACCAGAGGAGGTGACTGAACAGGGACCGTTTTCGCGAGAATGGGGGCGGAGGAAGAGGCCAGCCTGGTGCCAGCGCTCCCCCAACCTCACGCTCAGCAGTGGGCTCAGCCCCAAAGAGCCCTTCAAAGAGGCACCCGTAGGTGCCTCGGGAGAGCCAGCATCTGGACGCCCACCTCATGGAGGGCTCAGAGGGCTGGTGGAAAAGGACTGGCATCGGCAGAGAGGGTTCCTACCGTGGTCAGTGAGTCAGCCGTTCCCATCACCTGCCTCCACACCAAGCTGTGTGGATGGGGAGGGCCAGCAGGGGGCGATGGAGAGCCCCCCTTCCATTCTCCCTAGAAGGGCAGCAGGCACCCTTGCTTTTCGCAGTGGCCTTGGGCCATGAAACTCGGGCTCCCATGCGGGGTGGAAAATCTTAGATCGCCAGAAGACTTTGTAATAGAGCCGAGGGTGCTCTGGGTGTTACGCTGCCCAGTGAGCGAGACCCTCGCTCACCTACTGATGATAACCCCGGAGTCGCCTTGATTTCTTCCCTTGCGCTCCGCTTCTGCTCCAGCAAACCCAGGCTGCCTACAAGCACACTGGGCGTGCAGAAGTCTGGAGACCAGGCTTGGGCCCGTCCATTTCTCTCCACCTCTACTGCCTCCTACTTCGAGCCCCTGGCATGTCCGGCCAGAGTTCCCAGTGCTTTCTCTGCCCAGGCTTGCCCTCTCCACCGTGCCACACCTCCCTAAACTTCCCAGCAGCTTCCCACGGTACTTAAAACCCCAGCTCCACATCACGGACCTCAGCCCTGCTGCTTGCTCACCGCCCTCAGCTCTCACTGCCTCACACTCAATCTGAACCCTGACATAGGCCTTCCTTGTACAGGAGCCGAGCGTCTCGCCTCAGGGCCTTTGCACATGTAGCTGGCCTCACAAATGCCCTTCAGAGCACCCAGATTTCAACAGAGCCAGAGAAATCTCACCACTCAGGCTCCACCTGGTGTCGTCGGCTCAGGGAGGCGTTCTCTGAGCCTCAGTAGGTCAGTAGTCCGTCACACTGTTTTATTCTATGAGTGACTCATCTGGCTCTCCCACAGGGCAAGAGTGTGGCTGTTTCTGTCACCCCTATACTCTCAGAGTCTAGAAGTGTGTCTGGCAAGTCACAGAGGCTTGGTGAATACAGAATGGATAACTGAGTAGACCAAAGCACAGAGTCCTGAGTTCCAATTTCATCAATGCTGCTTGCTAGCTCTGGGACCCTAGACAAGGTCAGAGCCACACAGGACGTTTATTTAAAAAAAAAGTCAGAGGGGCCAGTGCTGTGGTGTAGTAGCTTAAGCATCCGCCTGCAGCACCAGCATCCCGTATAGGTGCTAGTTTGAATCCCGACTGCTGCACTTCCAATCCAGCTCTCTACTGATGACCAGGGAAAGCAGTAGAGGATGGCCCAAGTGCTTGGGCCCCTGCACCCGTGTGGGAGACCCAGAAGAAGCTCCTCCTCACTTCTAGCTTTAGATCGGCCCATCTCTGGCTGCTGTGGTCATTTGGAGAGTGAACCAGCAGATGGAAGACCTCTCTCTCTCTCTCTCTCTCTCTCTCTCTCTCTCTAACTCTGCCTCTCAAGTAAATACATAAATCTCAAAAAAAAAAAAGTTGCAGTTACAGAGAGAAGGAAAGACAGAGAGAGATCTTCGATCTGCTGGTTCACTCCCCAGGTGGCTGTAATGTCCAGGGCTGGGCCAGGCTGAAGCCAGGAGCTTCACCCAGGTCTCCCATATGGGTGATTAGCACCCAAGCCCTTGGACCATCTTCTGCTGATTTTCCCAGAGCCGTCAGCAGGGAGCTGGATTAGAAGTGGAGCAGTCAGGACACAAACTGGCACCCATCTCGGATTCCAGCATTGCAGACAGCAGCTTCACCTGCTATGCCTGTAACTTTTAAGATCTCCTTATTTCATCTGTATAACAGTGACAGTAATGCCCAGGAAGGTACCAGCAAAAGCACTTTGAAAACCCTATGCTAGGTCCTGCATTGTGGTGCAGTGGGTTGAGCCGCCACTTGAGACCTCAGCATCTCGTATCAGAATGCCTGTTTAAGTTCCTGCTGCTCCACTTCCCATCCAGCTCCCTGCTCGTGTGCTTGGGAAAGCAGAAGAGGATGGTCCAAGTCCCTGGGCCCCTGCGCCCATGTGGGAGACCCAGAGGAAGCTCCTGGCTCCTGGCTTTGGGCTGGCCCAGCTCCAGCCTTTGGGGCCATTTGGGGAGTGAACCAGTGGATGGAAGACCTCTCTCTCTGTATGTCTGCCTTTCAACTAACTAAATCTTTAAAAAGGAAGGGAGGGAGGAAAGAAGGGAGGGAGGAAAGAAGGAAGGGAGGAAGAGAGAAGGGAGGGAGGGAAGGAGGGAGGGAGGGAGGGAGGGAGGGAGGGAGCTCACAGTGTAACCCGGCATTTGGTGGAGTGGTATTCTTATCACATCCAAAGTCATTGGGCGCAGGGCAGGGAGGCCTGGGACACCTCTCACCTGGGAACACCTCCAGCTGGATGCCCATCATGGGGTAGAGGGTCCCGGAGCTGTTGCGCAGGCACCAGTACCGGCCCGAGTCCTGGAGCTTGAGGCCCTGCATGGTGATGTTGACCACCTTGGCCTGGGCATCATCCTGCATCAGGTAGCTGGGCCCCTTCGCCCAGACGCGGGTGAACCCAGGCTCGCATCTCTTCTTCCAGATTCTGCACCAGACCTTGCCTTCCACGCGGTTTCTGCGGCCCTTGTAGGAGCACTGCACGAACAGAGTCTCCCCTTCTTGGTGCCGCACTTTGACGTACCCGCCCTCGGCCGGCGGCCCTGCGGAGACACAGCTTGTTGAGTGAGGGCTGGCGCCACAGGGGGAAGGGGGTGACTCGGACTTGAAGATGGTGGTGAAGGGGGAAGAGGTGGCTGCCGCCCGGCTGTGATGAAACTGGCAGTTTGATGGGGAAGTACAGCCCTGCCCCAGGCACTCGCCCCTCAGTCTGATGGGGAGGTACACCTCCCTGTGTATGGAGCTCCCAGTCTGATGGAGGAATCGTAGGCCCCTCCCTCATGGACCTCCCAATCTGATGGTGGAGACAGGGAGTCCGCAGTCTAAGGGAGGAAACTCAGCCCTTGCACTCAGGGCTGCCCCAGACGTGGCCCTTTTCTCCCTGGTGGTTCTTGGTGTCGTAGGACGTGAGGAGCCCTGTCTTCAGGGCTCCCTAGCCTTGTGGGAAAGCTCTGCCCAGCCCTTGGCAGATCCACAGACACAGTTGCAAGGCATGAATTCTGGAAGGTCGGAGCACACACAACGCAGGTGGGCTTGGCAACACGAGGAGAGTTTACTTCCCAGATGGGTTCACAGCAGCCATCTTTTAAAGAGCAAGCCACCTTCGCTCATTCTAGGTGAGGTTTAACTTTGCTAGTTACGTCAAACCCATGGGTTACACGTGCCCAGGTACTGTGCAGGGACTACAAGAAGCTCGTGGAAAACTGACTTAAAAGATGAACTCATTTTGGTGCCAAAAATTTGAAATTCACAGATAATAAACATTGTCCACGTACTGCCTGAAGATCTCCCATATACAGGTACCAGGGCTTAGGAGTTCCCAGCACATTGAACCAGAAGATTCTACAGTCACGCGTGGTTTCACTGCAACATCTTGTTTTATGTGCCCAGGATGTGGCTCGTGCCCTTCGTAATCCACCATGCGGCAGGGAGACCGGGACAGGGGTAGGGGTTTAGCTCAGGGGACAGAGAGAGGGAGAAAGTGGCGGTGATGTGCATCTGCCTGTCTGCCCACAGGAAGCCCCCAGGGCCTTCCGCAAACACACACAGAAGAAGTTTCTCCCCAGTGGGATGGAATACCGAGTGCACATTCTGGAACCAAAATAAAACATAGGTCAAAACCCTGGGTCCAGGGGCCGTGTTGTGCGGTGCCAACATCCCATATCAGAGTGCCAGTTCGAGCCCCGGCTGCTCTACTTCCCATCCAGCTCCCTGCTAGTGCGCCTGGGAAAGCAGCAACAGCAGAAGGCCCAAGTGCTTGGTCCGCTGCTACGCATATGAGAGACCTGGAAGGAGTTCCAGGCTCCTGACATCGGCCTGGCCCAGCCCTGGCTGTTGTGACCATCTGGGGAGTGAACCAGTAGTTAGAAGATCTCTCTGTGTCTCTCCCTTCCTCTGCGTCACTCTCTCTAGTGAATAAAATAAACCTGTATCTCTCTCTCTCTCTAAACCCCAGCTACACACTTAACTGTGTGAGCAGCTCATGAAATTTTATCTGTCAGGCAGGGGTAACATCGCTCCCCTCCGATGTTGCCGTGAGAATTAAACCCAGGACCTTGCCTTGAACATAGTACACACTCAATGTGTGCGTCCTTTTCCCAAATGCAGGTGGTCCCAGAGTCCCCCCCCCCCAACACACACACACAATGGAGCCAGGGCTATGATGGTACCAAGGACCTGGAAACCCAGAGACCCGGTCCAGTTTCCAGCGGCCACGGCAGCCAGGCAAGGCGCTGAGCAAGGCCACACCCTCTCTGAGCTGCACATCGTCCCTTACGAACTAAACAGAATGACCCAACTCAGTGATGAGATGGGTGAGCCCAGGACTTCTGCCCTGGCAGAGGTAGGAGACTTGGGGAAGAGTCTGGGGGCACCGTGTCCATTTGTGCCTGCACCTTCTACCCCTCTCACAGGTGGTGGGGCATGGGTTCCGCCAGCCCCTACTTGAGCCCAGAATCCAACAAGAGGCAGCCACTTGGTTGCCATGGCAGCAAGGGAAGCAGAACTGGGTGAGGCCCCTTGGGGTGGGAAAGAAAGACCTTCAGGGATTGGTCACCTTCAGGGCAGGGGGCAGGGACCGGATGTGGCATCAATATTCTGAGAAAAAACGAATTCAAAGCACACACATGATGCAACAACTCTTGTCAGAAGCAAAACCAAAGAGCTTTCCCGACAGAGAGCAGGCGAAGGCGGTGTGGGAGGAAACTGAGGGGCCGAGGCTTGGGGCCCCCAGGGATTCCCAGCAGATATAGGAGCCGGGGCAGAGAGGGCCCAGGGCTGCCTGGAGGGCTCGTGAGACCCAGCCTGAGGACAGACGCTCTCTTGGGTCTCTGGTCAGCGCTACTGAGTCAGCCCCAACCCACAGAAGGTGAACCCAGATAATAGGGCGTGGAGAAGCAGGGAGGGCGGGCGCAGCTCCTGCCCCCAAAGCGCTCCCTCCCGCAGGTTAGCCCGGCTCCTTCTCTCACCTGAGATGCAGCCCTGTGGCCACAGAAGCAGCAGCAGCAGCAGTACCACCGGGGCCATGGTGGCATCCAGTCAGGGCAGTCACGGGCCCGGCCAGGGGCCAAGGCACCCTGGGGCTCTTCAGCCAGGACCCAGGCCAGCACAGGACATGCCACCTGGACCTGCCAGGGCCGGACCCGGGCTTCTAAAAGTGAAATTGCCCATTTAGGGAAGTGAGGCAGTGTGGGACCCACTGCCACCAGCAGACCGCAGAGGCCAGCCGAGCCTATCAGCAGGGCAGCACGGGTGGCTGTTTCCGCCCTCTTCCTCGGAACCTCAGGCAGGTGTGGCTGCTCCACCCAGCCTGGGCCCCCCAGCCCTCCCTGGGCTCCCTCCCAGAGACGGGTCCCATGGGGCAGGGGATCCACCCAGGGGGCTGCTGCGTGGTTTCTGGGACCTTGAGTACAAACCTCTGGAATCTCCTGGGCTCAGAGACCGGGATTGGGGTGAGGGGACGGGGTAGGGGAGGGCGGGGGCAGAGCTCTCAGGCTGCTGGGAGGCGTCTTGGACTTCCCATACCACGTTCACAAGGAAGCCCTTGTGAGTGCCCACTCATTCATTCATCCATTTGCAAAGTGCATTCATTCTGTTGCCCTGCAACAGTCACTCACACTTACTGTGGCAAATAACCTCACACAGGCGCACGTGCAATCTTATTTTTGTCACAGCGGTTGGGTGGGGGCAGGGTGGGGGAGGGAGGATGCAAATTGTAAGACTCAGAGCATAAAGTTTAGTGTCCAGGAGGAGTTCCTGTGCCCTCATCCCTGAGCACATGCAATCAAACACACCCTCACGCACTCACACGCTTGGGCTCTCATACACTCTCCATGCTCCACTCTCCCCACCCCCACCCCCGCATACACACACACACACACCAGCTGTCTTTCCCTCTCGCTCTGTGTCTCCCCGACTCTCTCCGCTTCTCTCTGCCTCTCCTCCTGTGATCTCTACTCACCCACCAGCTGTCTCTAGACTCCTCCTTCCTCTTGCAGGCTTCCTAAAACCATCTCAGTGCTTCCCCTTACCCATCCTGGAGATGCCACGCCCCAGGGGCCCTCCCTCCCCTGGCCCCGGCCCCCATCAGCACACAGGCAGGCCCCCACCACTTCCTCCCACTCAACCCTATCTCGCCTCTACAGCCACGGGTTCCAGTTAAAATGACCCAGCACTGGCCCACGACCCCACCCTTCATTTAGCCCCTGGGGCTGGACTTCTGCCACCTCCTCCTTTGGGGTGGGAGCGGGTAGGCAGACCCCCATGGCCGCATGTGCGCCCTGCCCCACCTGTGTCATCTTCCTAGAGTGAAATTCCCTGCGCTGGCACGGCCATGGTCTTCAGCTGATCTTGAGTCCCAAAGCCCCAGCCAAAGAAGTTTCGTCTTTGCTGACCCCAAACTATTATACTCTGAATTCATTCATTCACCTGTTCATGTGAACATTGAATTTTTATTATTTATATACATTTTTCAGAAGGGGAGAATGAGGGGAAAGAGAGAGAGAGAAAGGAGAGAGAATTCCCATTTGCTGATTCATTTCCCAAATGCCCACGATGATCAGGGCTGGACCAGGCTGAAGCTGGGTGCTGGGAATCCCGGCCAGGTCTCCCACGGGGGTGGCAGGAACCTAGTTATTTGAACCATCAACCACAGCCTCCCAGATTCTGCATTAGCAGGAAGCTGGCGTCAGGAGCAAGAGTGAAGAATCGAACCCAGGAACCCACATGCCCACTCCCATCTGTTCCTTCTTACGACCTCATTGCCATGCCCAGGGCTGGGCACTGGGGATCTAGGGAGGAGACGCACTTGTCACTGCCGAATTCTCAGCCCGCAGAAGACGCTCTGCGCTTCCCCATGCCCCCTTCCTTTCCTCACAGGCAGAATGCAGAGCCTCTCCCAGCCACACCCACAACACACAGAGTGTCTCCCTTCTCCCCTTCTGGAGGGAGGGGGCCACCTCTCATGGGACCTCTCGTGCCTGGAGGTGACACCTGTACAGTGTGCCCTGCACCAAGTGGGGCACTGGGACAATTGTGCCAGCAAGGACCCAACACTCATCCGCTGGTACAGGACATAGACGCTGGACTCAGAGTATATGAGCCCCCTAGGGAAATTCCGAAGTAGTTATCAAAATCTACTTAAAAATATGGATATGCTAGGCTTTTGTGTACAAAATGACTTAAGACAGCATATTTTTTCTTTATATTTTCAGCAGAAATTTAAGGTCTAGAAGCCCGTACTGTGGCACTGTGGGTTGAGCCTCCACCAGCAATGCCAGCATCCTCATGTCAGAGCACTGGTTTGAGTCCTGGCTGCTCTGCTTCCAGTCCAGCTCCCTGCTAATGCACCTGGGAGAGTGGCAGAAGGTGCCCTAGGTGCTTGGGCCCCTGTTACCCATGTGGGAGATCAGGATGGAGTTCCTGGCTCCAGCCTTCAACCTGGCCCAGCCCTAGCCGTTACAGCCATTTGGGAAGTGGACCAGTGAATGAAAACTGGATACCCACCTCTTTTCTCTCTATTACTCTGCCTTTCAAATAATAAATAAATCTTTGTAAAAAAAACAACTAAGGTCTAATTTATATGTAGTAAAATTTCATTTTCAGTGGGCAGTTCCCGGAGCTGGAAGAAGGCATGGAAACCCGCACCCTGTTCTGTATCCAAGGTGCAGAAGAGTTCATCATCCCTCCCACAGCTTCCCACATCCCTTGACCATCAGCCTCCTGGCCCTGGCAACCTGTAACCTGTGGGCTTCTTCCCTCTGCTCTTTCTCTTTCTAGAATGGAAATCACCGAGTGTGTAGCATTTTATGCTAACTTCTTTTGATGAAGTCCAATACATAATTTTTAGGGATCACATTTTTTGTGGCAAATCTAAGACACCTTTGCTTAACTCAAGGTCACAGAGATTTTTTAAGAGCTTTGTGACTATAATTCACGTGTTATAAAATGGACACATTACAAGTGGACCATTCAGAAGGGCACCTGCACCAATCTGCACCACACCAGCAGCTGTAGCTGCCAGAGCTTTATTCCAGTGTCACCATGTTTCGATGCACTAACTCATCTCCAGGTTTGAGGCAGGCAGCAAGCCAGGACAGGGCAGAACCACCAGACACACAGACCTGACGTGCACGATAAATGTGGTCCTGGTGTGTGAGCTCGTGGGGCCACGTTCGGTATAGCCAGATGGAGATTTCCAGAAAGTAACCTGCCCCTTATTGTAAGTCACCACAAAAGGATGGAGAGACCAGTCACCATCCCAGCAGGTGTAATACTCAACTGGTTCAGCACCAACTCAATTGATGCCAAGAAAAGCACTGTGGGCCCAGCAAAATAAGCATCCTGAAGAAGTGTATTTGAGACCATCAGATAAATACAGCGCACAACTCAGTGTTTTTAAGATTTTCACCAAGGGGTCGGCGCCATGGCTCACTTGGTTAATCCTCCGCCTGCGGCGCTGGCGTCCCATATGGGCGCCAGGTTCTAGTCCCGGCTGCTCCTCTTCCAGTCCAGCTCTCTGCTGTGGCCCAGGAAGGCAGTGAAGGATGGCCCAAGTGCTTGGGCCCTGCACCTTCATGGGAGACCAGGAGGAAGCACCTGGCTCCTGGCTTCGGATCGGCGCAGCACCGGCCATAGGGACCATTTGGGGAGTGAACCAACGGAAAGAAGACCTTTCTCTCTGTCTCTCTCTCACTGTCTAACTCTGCCTGTCAAATTAAAAAAAAAAAAAAAAGATTTTCACCGAGTTGCGCAACTATCACGTCAAACTCATCCAGGACATTTCCATTGCTCCAAGAAGATAAGCCTTGTACTCCTTGACAGTTGAGCCCTGTATTCACTTCCTATAACTGCAAACTTGGTGACTTCAAACAACAGTAATTTATTTTCTTCAGGGCTCGGGAATCAGCTCCACCAGCCCGTGATCAAGGTGCCGGCCAGGCTGCTGCCTCCCCTTCTGCCTCCTTCAGCGTCCGTGGCTGCGTCACTCCTTAGACGGGGGCTGCGTCACTCCAACCTCAAGGTCAGCACCTTCCACTCTCTCTCTCGGCTCCATCTTCACATCACCTTCCGCTGTGTGTGTTTAAATCCCCTCTGCTTCTAACAAGGATACGTGCAATGGATGTGGTGCCTCTTGTCCTAATCCAGCACAGTCTCCCCAAATCAAGGTCCTTCATGCCATCAGCAAGAGCCCTCTCCTGACCTGTGAGCTAAGATTTCCAGGTACCGACATTAGCACGTGGGTACCTTTTAGGAGACGATTGTGCAGAATATCTCACTCTCCACAGTCCTGCAGCCCCGGCAGCCCCTAATCCACTTGCTGTCTTAACAGATTTTCCCTGTTCTGAACATTTCATCAAAACGTAATTGAACATGCGTGTCCCTTGTGACTGGAGTCTTCCACATAGCATAGTGCTTTTGGGTTTGTTCATGTAGCAGTACCTGCTGTGCAAGTTGTATTAATTCTTCATTCTTTTTAATGACTGAATAATATTCCACTGAAGAGATAGGTATGCATCTGTGTGTGTGTGTGTGTGTGTGTGTGTGTGTGTATTCATTTACCAGTTGGTGGACATCTAATTTATTTCTACTCTTTGGCTATTGTGAGCAGTGCCACTTTGAATAGAGAACAAGTTTTTGTGTGGACATGTGTTTTCATTTCTCTTGGGTATATATTGAAGAATAGGATGACTTGCTCACATAGCTACTCTATGTTTAGCATTTTGAGGAATCGCCAAATAGTTTTCAAGGTGGCTGCTCTATGTTCTACCTTCATCAGGATGTCTGAGGGCTATAATTCCTCTCCAACATTTGTATCAGCTGCCTTCGGTTTATAACCATCCTGCTGGCTGTGATGTTTGGCAGGGTGTCACTTAGCGGATGGGATACCTTCTGAGAGATGCATCAGTAGGTGACTCTGTCACTGTGTGAATGTTACTAAGAGGCGTATCATCCTGGATGGTGTCGCCTACTGCCCCAGGCTACAGATGCACACAGCACGCACTGTACTGAACACTGCAAGCAGCTGTCACACAGCAGGAAGTGCAGTGTCACCGACACTGGGAACTTTTCAGCTCCATGATTATCTCTTGGAACATTGTCAACTACGTGGTCCATCCCTGATTGAAATGTCCTTGAACACGTGACTGCAGTATCTATGGTTTTAATTCATGTTATCCAGTCATGAATGATCTTGAGTATCTTTTTGTGTACTTTCTGTAGTCTGTGTATCTTTGGAGAAATGACTATTCAAATTCTTTGCTCTTTCTAAATTGAATATTTGGCCTTTAGTACAAGAAAAATATGCCGCATAATTTTGGCTTCCATTTTGCAGATGAGAAATTCACTGTCGTTAGAACTGATAGCTCCTTCTAAGGAATGCACCGTGTCTCTCTGGCTGCTCTTGAGCTGTGTTCTTTGTCTTTAGCTCTCAGAAGTTTGTCCTGGTGTGTATTTCTTCGGTTTACCCCATCTCAGGCTTAATCATCAGCCCTTTGGACCTGTGAGTTTATGACTTTTGCCAAATTTGAGAAGTTTTGAGAAGTTTCCTCCGATACATTCTCAGTCTCCCGCTCTCCATCTTGTCCTTCTGAAACTCTGACGCACGGACGTTCGCGCTCGTGTTCTCGCCCCACAGATCTCTGAGGTCCTGCTCCTGTGTTTCAGTCTTTTCCTCTCTGTTGTTCAGCTTGAGTAAATTTTGTTGATCTGACTTCAAGTTCACTGATTCCATCTCCACTCTCCTATGCAGTCCATTTAGTGAGGTTTTGGGGGGTTTTGTTGTTGTTATTATATTTTTTTAAAATATTTATTTATTTGAAAGGCAGAGTTACAGAGATGCAGAGGCAGAGAGAGGTCTTCCATCTGCTGGTTCACTCCCCAAATGGCTGTAACAGCTGGAACTGGGCTGATCTGAAGCCAGGAGCCAGGAGCTTCTTCTGGGACTCCCACAGAGGTGCAGGGGCCCCAGCACTTGGGCCATCTTCCACTGCTTTCCCAGGCCACAGCAGAGAGCTGGATTGGAAGAGCAGCAGCTGGGAC